CGGGCCAGCCCGGCCCACGGCTCGGGACAGCCCGTGGCCCGCTTCTGCAGCCGCAGTTTTATTGTGCAACTTCCTTTGAAAACCACCATTTCAAACCGTGTACCCTGGCAAGGCAGGGAGGAAGGAAGTCAGTGATGATGAAACTGCCCTCGTTTGTCTAAGGCAGCTAATTGCCTTGGCCAAACAAAGAAAAAGGAAGAGATGGCCCAAAGGCATTCCCTTACCGCACCAAAGAGCACATTTGTAGTAGAGCATGTCCAAGAGAAAACTCCGGCAAACTCATAAACACCATCCTTCAGACATGTGCGTGGGAGTGTAATGGGACTATTCGCCCAGTGGCAGTCAGGTTACTTAAAAGTGTAGGTGCTTGCAAACTGGGCCCTAAACTAGCTTCATTGAACACAAATTAACTTTTAAAAAATGTTCATAGATTTCATAGACATTAGGGCTGGAAGACCTTTTCAAAATGTTTCTTACACAGTTTTGTATGTCAGTCATGTTTTCTTTGAACCCCTTAGAGACCTGTCATGACCAGGGTGAATTTGATGAGAAGCTCTCAGTCCTTCAAAATTGGATTGTACGGCCAAGACAGCATATTGCCTCTAACTATTTAATACCGCTTGTCTTCTTATGGAGGTGTACGGGGGCAAGGCCCCACCATCATTCCCTATTCTAAGAGTTTATGTGATAGTTGGACGTTCTGTCAAGGGAATTCAGGTGTGGCCGGTCCCAGAGGCTTCTGGAAAGCCTGCGCTATTGGACTTTAATGAAGCAATGACCCATTTTCCATTTTTGAGCATGCGTGGCATGCCCGTGTTTTAGGTGGGAAAGCATGTGAGGGGAAGGTAACCATTTTGAGTGAGTGACAGGTAGGGTGCTGGCTGCGACAGAAGAGTAGCATGTGTACGTATGTGACTGGCTAAAGTGGGAGTGAGGTTTGTTGCTGGGCCACCGGCATATCAAAACTAGGACTGTGCAAAGCTTCACAGACTGTTTCATTTTGACGCTGTTTCAACTCGTTTCAAGCTCAAAACTGAAACAAAACAAAGGGCTTCGAAACAGCCTCAAAACAAAATGAGGGCAGTCGAAAAGTTTCAAAAGTTTTGAAACATTTTGAATTTCGAAGCAGCCTGGTGGTGAGAGGCAGGGGAGAGCCAGGGCTGCGCTCCGAGTGGCTCTGCCCCATGAAGAGCACAGCCCTGGCTCTCCCCGCCTCCTCGGATCAGCTCTGGTGCAGGGCCCAGGGGAAAATCAGCTCATGCGTGGACTTGCTACTGCCCTGATCCAGAGGCGGTGGCGGATCCCCACGCAAGCTGATTTGCCCCAGGCCCCACACCGAAACCAATCGGAGGAGGGTGCAGGGCCCAAGGCAAATCAGCTTGTGTGGGGACCCACGGCCGCCCCGATCCCAGGGTGGTGGTAGGTCCCCACACGAGCCGATTTTCCCCAAGCCCCACACTGGAACCAATCAGAGGAGGGTGCGGGGTCCAGGGCAAATCAGCTTGTGCAGGAACCCGCTACTGCCCCGATCCCAGGGTGCCGGCGGGTCCCCGCACAAGCTGATTCACCTCAGGCCCCCCTCCCCCCGGCCCCCGGCTGCCGCTGACCCCAGGCAGCAGCACCAGCCTCCTGTCATCTGGCAGGCAGATCCGGGGCTTGCCCGCACCCCCAGGAGGGCTGCAGGAGCTGTGCTGGACTGCTCCCGGGGGTGCAGGTCCCGAATCTGCCTTCCAGATCACCGGAGGCTGGTACTGCCAGCTGAGGCCAGCGGCAGCACTGATTTTCCGGGCACTGGCTATGGGCAAAACATCAAAACAGCATCAAACAGCCAGAGTTAAGATGAAACGAAATGGAACAGTGCTTTCAAAACGAAACAAAACTCAAAACGAAACAGTGTTCCATTGAAATGGAAGTCGAAGCGGAACAATGCTGTTTCACACAGCCCTAATAAAAACCGACTTGCGTGAGAGAGTTTGGATTCTTGTTGGCTGGATTGGTGTGGCGGTTCATTGGGTTGTTGGTGTTGATCCTGCAGAAGAGGATAAAGAATCACGAAGAGATTTCTGCTACCTTTGTGGTAAAGTATTACCGCACCCTTACATTTCAGGAATACCAGTAACTACACTGAGCTGGGGATGTCTGGCCAGGATAGGTCTAAAGATTCCCAGGTAAGTGAAGTAGTGTGTGTGTGTATACTTACCCAAGTTGTGTTTGTTAGTTTGAGATTGGTTTGTTTGATTGGTTTTATGACTTATTGATTTATGAAATTCTAAGAATATTTGTACGTGTGTCTTAACTTAGTGAGTGGCTTATAATTGGTGCTTGGCTGCATAGAACAGCCCATTGGCAAGTCTTGTTTCTGCGAATTGAGCAATCGCAGGCAACTTCAGTTGGGAGACACTGAGCTTGGCAGTTTACCTACTTGCTTGCTTTAACATTGTGATATTGCTACTAAAGTGATCCTGTTGATAGTGCATGGAAATAGTTCCAGTTTAACCCTGTATTATACTGTTTGCCCTTTCTTATAATATAGTATGTTCTTTGTTTTAGTTCTGTGTGGTGTGCTGTGTCTTTCTTACACATACCTTAAATTACTTACCTTCACAGAAGCCCACTGGACACCCAGCCTTAGTGCTTAAGTGACCTGTAGTGCTGAGGCTAGCTGACTCAAACCCTAGCAATTATTAAGCATCCCTTTCAATGCTTTAATCATGGATTATACAAGAGCCTTCCTAATTATAAATTTAATCTGTTTGAATTGGCTAATTTGTATAATTGGCAATTGGTGCTCCAATGGAGGCAGTGTTTGCAAGTAAAGAATGGTGTGGAAGGCAAACGTCTGGTGCTTTATAAACAGACCGCTCCAGTCATGTAGGGCTCATCAACCATGACACACAGTCCCCCCAGGAGAAGGAAATTCCAGTTCAAACAAAGTCCAGTTCAGGTTCATACAGCCAGGTTGTAGAAGCTGTGCTGGTCTTGTATCCTATGGATCTCTACATAGCAGGGTGTCTCCAAGAAGTGTTGCATAGCCGCTTTGCCTGAGAGCTGTGGAAAGTGGGGAAAAGTCCCCTGCATTCTGGGGCACACAGCTTAAGAGCTACATCTGATTTCTATGAAAGTGGGAAGAATGAATGGGAAGCTCCAAGTAACTGAGAAGCTAAACAGAAGAGTACACATTGCCTATAAGAAGCCATGGAGTTGGTAACTCCTCATCTCAGAAAAAGCTGAGGGAGTTCCAAGTAAAATGGCTAGGTTGTGCAAAAATGAGATATGAGATATGTTGGCTGGATGTACAGGATCTTATAGCCTAATAGGACAAGGATGATGAGGAAGATACAGGAAAAAAAAGTTGGTTTGAGAGAATATGAAAAAGGTTAGAGTCAGCTGC